GTTTGCCATTTCCTTCTCCAGCTCATTTTTACAGATGAGGAAACTGAGGCAAACAGGGTTAAGTGACTTGCTCAGAGTCACACAGCTAGTAAGATTTGAACTCATGAAGAATTTTCCTGACTTCAGGCCTGGTGCTCTATCCACCGTGTCACCTAGCTGCTGGAAGAAAACTTAGAGATGATCAAATCTAATCCCATAATTTTATAGGTGAGCAAATTGATTCCCAGAGATGGGAACTGATTGGCTCAAAATCACACAGGCCAAAAGGAGCATAGCTAGGCCTTGAACCCGTATCTTCTGACTCCAGATCAGGGCTCTTTCCTCTTAGCCATCACACCCTTCCTATCATCCTTCTTCTTCCTGCTTTGTCTTTCATTTATTCTTATAATCTAAATTTTAGTGACTGAAAATGTATTTCAATAAAAAAATTTTGAGAACATTTAAACCTGATGAAACTCAGTGAGGTAGCAAACCAAAGCTGGTAATCTTGGGCATAGCCCTTCTATCACATCAGGAAGGCAAGTTTGAAGAACCAAGACTTTTTTTCTTGTACATTCAATATCCTGTGGGATTCAGTAGAACTTGACTTGTTTATCTCCAGCACTTGGACCAGTGGCTGGCATACAGTAAGTGCTTAATAAGCACTTCTTGCTCTATTTCCTCCCTGGACATCTCTGCTTCCTTGCCATCTTGCATCCCCTCCCCCAATCACTTGTCAGATCTCCTTTTTGTGTTATCTGCCGCCATTAAAATGTGAATTCCCTGAGGACAGAGACTGTCTTATGTTTGTATCCCTGGCACTTAGCACAGTATTATGTGCTTAATTAATGTTCTGTCCATCTAGATATCTACCTATCCAATACATAATAAATTCTTGTTGACTGAAAACCAAATAATCTTTTTCTTTAGCAAGACCAGATTCTCATGGGGTTTATGAACAATGGAAACTAAATGGAGGGTAATTGTTCTTTCAACTGCTGAGCTACACTCTCCTTTAATTATCAAAGGACATCTACTATACATCCTTACTCCAGCTAGACCTGGTTTGAACACCTCTCTCTGCCATAGATTTATATTCCTGTTTTTATGAGTCCATGTGAGAACTCTCAAAGCACTAGGGAAACTACCACCTGCCTGCTGCTGAGTGTGGAGGTAATTACAGCTTCTGCTCTCACAGCTTCACACTATCCATGTCTACAGATGGCAGAGGGGACCCAAAGGTTGTTGGATTTAAAAAAAGAGAAAGAAATTAAGCATGGGTAGTCACTGATACCAAGCATATGTAGGTTTTCCAAGCAATATGCCAAACTATGTCCAGGACTTCTTTTTTAAAACAAACAGACAAGGATCCATGGGCAGAAGTCCTTTGGATGGTGGGAAAACAAGACCCCATATCCTTGGTAGAAATTGTCCAACTTCCTACCTGGAAAAAACCCATGGACAAATTTGGAAATGTCATTCCAGAATTTTCAGGACCTCCAGCCCCCCCCCCCCCCCATGAGCACTGTCCCATCTCACTTCTTCAGTGATCCATGTTCTGGGTCATAATTCTACAGTGACTTCATCCCTGTAAAGGTGGAATCCTATAGTCTGGAAAGTATAAGATGCTTCCCCTATCAATGGCATCTGCATTCAGAAGATTAAAAACCATAGAAGAAACAACCAAGTGAATCCCTCATTGTAGAAATACAAATATATGGGGGTGGGGGGAATATTTTAGGGGGAGATGTTTTCCATGTAACTCTGAAAACAGGCAACATATGGCTTCCTGTTCTTTTAATTTTTTTTTTAATTTAAGCTTAATCAACTCTGCCTACAACAAAAATCAATGAACCAGTGCCTTAAATGAGGAACATTGCTCTCTGTTTCTTCCAATGTGTGTTGGTCTTCATAGAGATGCTGTTCCATTATTATAATTAGTGTGTGCATACTGTCATGTTATTTTTACCTAACATCACTTGGTGGTTAGAATGTAGCGAAATTACGTAATAGACAGTGGTGGATTTGGATTCCAGGAGACATGGGTTCAAATCTTGTCTCTCTTATTTACTAGTCGGGTAGCAATTGGAAAGTTACTTAACTTTGAAAGCCCCAGTCTTCTTCACCCATAAAACGTGATTCATAATACCTACAGTACCTGCCCACAAAGGTTATTATGACACTCAAATGAAATCAATTCTATAAAGTGAGATACAGAGATAGAGATTTTTATAGGGCCTGTAACTTCATTCTTTAATGTGGAGAACTATAGGTAAGAACTTCCTCTACTCCTACAGATCTGTGCCTTTCCTTCAACCTCAAGTTTTAGAGAATTGCTTGGGGTTATTAAAAATTAAATTACTAGAGATTCATTAGTGGGAAGGGTGCTAGATTTGCAATAAAAAAGACATGGTTGCTTTAGACTCTATGTGATCCTGGGGAAATCACTTAACTTCTCTGTGCCTCAGTTTCCTTATCCGTAAAATGAGGAGTATTGGACTCAATGGTCTCTAAGGCCATTAGCTTCCAATTCTAAATCTATCAACCTATAAGACTCTCTTTATTTCATACTAATAACACTATTAATAATAAATATCCCCTTCCCCTTATAGAATGTAAGCTCCTTGAAGGCACTTTTGTATTTGGATTCCTGCAGCCTAACACATTGTCCAACCCATATACAACACTCAACAAATGTTTCTTGACTGATTGATTGATTGTGGGGAAGGAATAACTAGAAAACCTGGCCCTTACTTGCAAGGAATTTAGAGGCTAGTTAGGGAGATAGACACACACACACACACACACACACACACACACACACACACACACACACACACAAACACCTGAAAGTCTTAAGAACACATAGAAAACAACAGACAGCCCTCTCTTTCCTGCCTTCCTTTCTCTGTATAATTGGTACACTCTGGCTGGAATACATTCCCTTAGAATCCCCAGCTCCCTTCAAAGCAGAGCTCAAGTGGGACCCGCCACAGGAGGCCTTTCCTATTACTCTACAAGTTTATGTCGTTTTTCTCCTGAAATTACTTTGCGTTATTTTGTACCCTCAACTCCTTTAAGATTCCAGTTTCAGAATGGCTGCTGATCTGCTTTGGTAGAAAGCATTTCTAAACTGAGGGTCCCCTGCAACAACGAAGTCACTAGTCTGGAGCAAAAACTCAATCTTGTTATATTTACTTCTCTGTATATATATAGAAGCTCCACAGTGGAAAATGAACTCCTTGACAGCAAGGACAATTTTTTTTTTACTTTTATCTCTAGTCTCTAGCGTAGTACCTCCATATAGCAGGTACTTAGTGAGTACTTGCTGAATTGAAGTAAGCTAATTAATTTGGGGGGGAGAGAGACAGAGAAACAGAGATAGAGACAGAGACAGAGAAGGAGGGAGGGAGAGAGTGGGAGAGAAGGGAAGAGGGGAGAGAGAAAGAGAGAGAGAGAGGACAGAGAGATAGGATGGGGGGAGAGAGAGATAAGAGAGGAAGAGGAATAGAAGAGAGAGAGAGAGAGAGAGAGAGAGAGAGAGAGAGAGAGAGAAGAAAATACAGAGACAGAAACTCAGAGAGAAAAAAGAGAGGGAAGGAGGGAGGGAGAAGGGGGAGGAAATATGGCTGTGCTATGCTGACCCCTTTACATTACTAAAAATCAACATATGTCTACATACTACAGTTTTCCGTTATTAAAAGCTTACACCTACACTAAGACTTTTGGGACACCTTGTTTGTGCCAGCTATATGCTAGGAAATAGAAGATAGAAAAATATATATTTATAATATATATATATATAATCCCTGCTTTCATGAAGCTCACAGTCTATTCAAGAGATAAGACAAATATACAAGTAACAACACACTATGATTGAATGAGTGAATGAATGACTAATTTATCAAGCATTTACTCTGTTCCAGAATGTTACGAATGCACGGGAACAATACAAGGAAAACGTTAGGTTTCAGAAGTCATTGCGTCCACTTGGGAGAGCAGAGGATGGCAGTATAAAGCTGGGCCTTACAGGATGGGAAAGGATCAGACAGGTGGGCCCAGAGGGGGAGATATGCAAGGCTCAGAGGAAATAACATGGAATTTGGAATCGGGGAAACCCAAACCCTGAAATCCACTACTGGTGCAATGTTAGCCAAGCCACTCCATTTCACAGCTCTTCATCTGTATAATGAGAGCCTTGACCCAATCTCTGAGGCCCCTTCCAGGTCTAACTCCCATGTCCCCTTGACAGAGGTATTGCATACGTAGAGTGTAGGGAGAGAGCGAGTGGGAAAGGTAGTTTGGAACCAAATTATACCTGTCCAGGATGTGAATCACAGAATCTCAGAGTTGGAGAGAACCTTAAAGGCCATTGAGTCCAACTTATGCCAAGGAAAAGAATGCTCAGTACATCTTACCCACTAGAGGAAGTACTGTGAATGTGAGACAAAGAATTCTGCCCTTTATTCCGAAGCTAAAGGGGGGACATTGGAATTTTTGGAGTGAGAAAGTGACATAATCAGAGCCGTAGTTACCCAAACCTGAAATTAAAAGACTTCTCTTATTCTTTAAGTCACAGAGGAAAAATCAAAAGAAAAAAAAGAGACAGAGACAGATTTAAAAGAAGAAAATGGAAATGAGGGAGTTGAGGATGGGGTTTGTGACTCTTTCTTGGGAACGTAAAGTCATGAGACAGGAGGGAAAAGGCACGTTTGTCATCGGAGCTTCCCATCAGAAGAGGTCTCCCATGCTCAGGCAGGCCTCCCCATGGGAGATAAAGGCATGGCAGATTTCCCACCCCCCCCCCCCCCCCCCCTCTCCCCCATTGCTCGTTGCTCAGGAGGACAGCCTCGGTGGAAACACCCATCTGTTTTCACCACCTCCAAAGCTAGACTGAGTGTTCCATGTTGAGTCAGACTCCAGGAGCTGACTCGTGCTCCACAGCATCCCTGCCGCCAACCACAAACCTCAGGGATTCTAAACAATGTCCTCTCTCATTCTCTTTCTGTCCCTTCCAATAGCATATGCGAGAGGCCGCGGAACGGCGGCAACAGTTGGAATTAGAGCATGAGCAAGCCCTGGCCGTTCTCAACGCAAAGCAGCGGGAAATTGAACTCCTGCAGAAGGTGAGTTGGTGACTTGGGGTCTGGGTTGGGAGAGAGGATAAGGTGGGGTGTAGTAAAGGGGGAAGGGAAATGAACACAACTCCTGCAAGGGAGGGTGAAGGGGGATACTGGGCTTGCCCCCTTCTTGCAATGCCTTTTCTCCCAAGAATATTTTATTATTTTTTTATTATTCCTTTTATTATTCTTTATGCCTGGGATTAAAAGGTTCAGAGTATATATTTCCAAGGGTTGGGGTATTGTCCTAGAGGCTGCTACATGGGGAAACAAAACCTGGTATTATGGAACCATAGCACAAAAGTGAGAAAGGACCTTAGAGGTTATCAGGAGATGGCGTGGCACAGAGGACAGACCACTGACTTTGTCAATTGTTACCAAAGCGACCTTGGGAAAAATCACTTAACCTCACTGGGTCTCAGTTTCCTGATGTATGAAATGAGAGGGTTGGACTAGATGGCTTCAGGTCTATATTCCTTACCCACCCAGTCTCCTCATTTTACAGAAGAGGAAACTGAGGTTCAGAGGAGTTGATGGAGTTGCCCAAGGTCACACAGTTATTAAGTATTAGAGCCAGGATTTTTAAAAAGTTCTATTGTGAACAGAATCCAAAGTTTTAAAATTGGGGGTGTAGAGGTTATCTAAGCTACCCCTCTCACCTTGTAGATGAAGAAACAAAGGTCTAGCACAACCACAAGTTTTGGACAAAGCCCAGAGAGAAGGGGCTTGCTTGCCCAAGGTTATACAGAATCCTGATTTAGACCCAAATCTTCTGACTTCTGGTCTAGAGAAATTTCTACCATATCACACATTTGCATTTGCTACAAAACTAACCTTTGGTTACTGATCTTCTGAAATTTCCTTGGGGCTATGAAGCTTCACAGACCTGGACCAGCAATGGTAGCCCTGGTGACTCTTATAGATGGAACTATTAACTCTGTAAGTCAAGAGCAAAATCATACAATGGAAAACACGCTGGATTGGAATTACAGGACCTGGGTTTGAATCTTCCCTCTGACACTACCCATGTGACCGTGGTCAAGTCATCAGTTAAGTGACTCTAGGGGCCTCAGTGTCTTCATCTGTAACATTAGAGGGTTAGATCAGAATTCACTGGTATCAAACTCAAAAGAAAAAATGCCAGATGTTGACTCGGGAAACCACAAATTCACATTCTCTAGGTTTTATTGTATTTTTATTTATTTTGTTAAACATTTCCCAATTATATTTTAATCTGGATCAAGCCCACTCAGGAGTTTTGTAGGCCGTGTGGCTCTGACTTTAACGTTTCTGGATCAGATGACCTCCAAGGTCCCTTTCAGTTCTAAATCTATTAGTTTGTTATTGGATTCAGAGCAACAGAACCAGCTATACCTCTCGTGTGACCTTAGGCAAGTAATTTCTCCTCTCTGGGCTTCAGTTTCCTCATCTATAACATGAAGAAGACACTCCGTCTCTGACTATTTTCCTGGCTGTCCTCCATGCCTGGAAAGTTCTCCCTTCTCGTCTCCTCTTGGCTTCCCTGGGTTCCTTAAAGTCCCAGCTAAAATCTTGCTTTCTACAGTAAGCATTTCACAATCCCTCTTAATCATAGTACCTTCCCTCTCTTAATTATCTCCTATTTATCCTGCATATAGGCTGTTTGTATTATTATCATTATTTGTATTGTTATTATTATTGTTTGCATGTTGTCTCCCCCATTAGATTGTAAGCTCCTTGAGGGCAGGGACTTTTTGTCTCTTTTTGTATCTCCAATACTTAGTATAGTACATGGCTCATAACAGGTGCTTAATAAATCCTAATTTACTGACAGAGCTAGAATAGATGCTCACAAACATTATGCATCATGGGATGGCTGTCTTCAAGAATTTGAAGAGCTATGGCAGGAAAGAAGGGTTAGGCATAAGATGATAGATGTCTCAGACACTTACTAGCTGTGTAACCCTGGGCAAGTAACTTAAGCCTCTTTGCCTCAGTTTCCTCATCTGTAAAATGAGCTGGAAAAGGAAATGGCAAACCACTCCAACATTTTTGCCAAGAGAACCCTGAATAGGGTCACAGAGAGTTGGACATGACTGAAATGACAGATACTGATAGATGTCTAATTAAAATGGACCTATTCCAACCCCTTCATTTTATAGAGGCCCAGAGAGTGGCTTACCCAAGGTCACATGGGTAGCAAGTGATAGAGACAGTGTTTGAAAGCAAGGCTTCCGACTATAGTATTACTAGTGTTTCCACTGCACCCCTCCACCTCCTTGGTCCCAGAGAGCAAACAAGGAACAACGGATAGAAACTGGAGAGGTGCAGATTTTAGCGTAATGTAGGCGAAATCGCTCCCATTCTGAGAGCTATCTAAAAGTAGAATGAACTGTCTTGACGGGTAGGGAGTACCCCCTTGTCAGAGGTATCAAAGTAAAGGCTCTGGATGACCAATTCCCAGGGATCTTGTAGAGGGCATTTTTGCTCTGGCGTGAGTTAGCCAGCATCGTCTCTGAGGTGCCCTCCCAACTCTGAGATTCAGTGATCCTTAAAAAGCATCCCAGAAACAAAACTAATAACAGAAGCTGCCTGATGTGTTTCCTTAACCCCGGTGATAGGGTAGCAAGTAATTACTCTTTTTTATATATAGCTACCTCTGCAGATTACAGTGTGTTTATCCGGCTCTCTGATCACAAAATGAAGAGCGTCATATTGCTTGCTCAAAACTTCACTGTCAATAGGAATCTGACGAAGTGATTCTTCTCCTCCAGAGTTTATTAGCAGCCCCCCGTTGGCCTGCTGAGCGATAACTCCTGAGGTTGTATTCTTAATCATTTATCAGGATCTCATATTAAGGAGAAATTTTATTAAGCCGGGGCAATGCCACGGTTTCTATTACCTGTCATAATGGGTTTACCAACGCCCCAAGAAGCCGTATTTTATCAGATGCTATCTGGTGGAGATATTACTAGGGCCCCAGAAGAAATATGAGTCTGCTCTATCACCTGTGGTGCCAAAGACTTTGTTATTGAGGTGGAGATGAATGTGCTTCCCTGACATCTGAATTCATTCTTCCTCCCAGCCCCGGGCCTAACGTCCTGAGGCTGGGTTCACTCCAGGAAGATCTGACTTTAGAGAGGGAAATATGATAGAAAAGTTGATATGGGACAACGGAAAGGGGGCCAAGGGACCTGGGTTGAAATCCTCTGCCTCTGCTATTTCTTAGCTGTGGGATCTTGGGCAAGGCAAACTTAACCTCCCTGGGCCTTGGTTTCTGATCCATAAAATAAGGGGATTGGATTAGATGGGCTCTGAGGTCCCTTCTAGCTATAACAATAACAATAATAATATTAATAATAATAGCATTTATAGAGTACTTTAAGGTTTGCAAAGCACTTTACAAATATTATCTCATCTAAGCCCCACAGTAACCCAGAAGGTAGGTTTTATCATTATCTCCTTTTTATAGATGAGGAAACTGAGACACATAGAGGTTAACTGACTTACCCAGAGTCACACAGCTAGTAAGTGTCTGAGGTCAAATTTGAACTTGGGTTTTCCTGACTTCGGGTCTAGCATTCTATTCACGACACCATACTGACACTCTGAGGAAGAGGAAACAGGTGAAATGCATGCTAATTAATTTAGCTATTTCTCAAATCCTTTGGCTACATATTTGATGAAGGAAGGTAGAACCTTGAGTAGAAGTGACCAGCTTTGTGTCCACTACATTTACTAAAATAGGGTGGACAGCTAGTGGAGCACTGGATAGAATGCTGGGCCTGGAGTTAGAAAGACATTTTCCTGATTTCAAATCTTGTAGAGAGAATTTTTGTTCTGGAGCAAGTTGACCAGGATTGTCTCTGAGGTTCCTTCCTAACTCTGAGATTCAGCGATCCTCAAGAAGCCTCCCAAAATTGAAACTAATAATAGTGGCTTCCTGATGTGTTTCCTCAACCCTGGTGATAGGGTAAAATTTGATCCTGTTTGCCTCAGTTTCCTCATCTGTAAAATGAACTGGAGAAGGAAAAGGCAAACCATTGTCATATCTTTGCCAAGAAAACTCCAAATGAAGTCATGAAAAGTCATACATGACTAAAAAGTGACTGATCAGGGCATCTAGGTGGCACAGTGGATAGAACACCAGCCCTTGAGTCAGGAGGACCTGAGTTCAAATCTGGCCTCAGATACTCGACACTTAAGTGTGACCCTGGGCAAGTCACTTAACCCCATTGCCTAGCTCCCCAAAAAATAAAAAATAAAAAATGACTGATCAAGAACAATCATAACAACAAAAAGGGGAATGGGGTTGTCTTGGGAGGTCGTGGGTTGCCCCTCACCGAAGGTCTTTGATGCACGATTGGATGACCATTTGTGGAGCATATCATAGAGAGGATTCATATTCAGGTATGAGTTGGGCTAAATGCCTCATAGTTGAGCCCTGCTGGCTCTGAGCTTCTGGGATTTTAATAGTGATTAGTCATTCACAGTATTGAGCTATGTCCTTTTCTGTAGAGCCTCTGAGAGAAGCTAAAACAGAAGGTAAGAAAACATACGAGCCAGAGAACAATCTGTGATTTCAAGAGCACAGGGAAAGATGGCAACCAGTCTGTAGCTTTGTAGAAAAATCCAAGGAAGGTGCCATAAAGGATCCAAGAGACTGGCCCTGGTCATACAGCAGTTAAGTCCAGAAATCTAGAGAAGGAAGGATTGAAAGAACACAGAATGGGGTGAATGTGTGATGTGATCACAGACAAGGTCTAGACTTAAGAGTCAAGAGGGCAGTATCATAAGACAGTGGAAAGTGCATAACATTTGGAGTAAGCACAAAGGTTCATATCCTGTGTGACAGTGGGCTAGTTATAGGAGCATAGATTTAGTTCTGCAAAAGGGTCCAATCCACTCACTTTACAGATGAAGAAACTGAGTCTAAGAGGATAAGTGACTTTCTTAGGGCCACACATCTAGTAAGAGTCTGAGGCAGGATTTGAATTCAGGTCTTTCTGATTCCAAGCTCTATCTAC